CCTGTCAATCGCCCCTCAAACCGAAATTTATACCTTTTCCGATTTTTAATTAAACGACCGACACATCATCTCTCTTCCGTTTGCATATTGAGAGTTTTTCGCCCTTCTTCCCCTTTCGGGGAAATGTAAATGCAGCAGCATTCTTGCCTTCCTTCTAATTGCGGCACCCGGCTTTTCCCCGCATCTTGGCCGTAATCCTTTTGCATTCGAGATATAATTTACATGCACCCCTTGGCCTTAGTCCTTTCTCACATATCCTCACATATCCTCGCATACCCTGCCCCAGAGGACACCCCTTTGGCATTTTCCCTCCCGTCTCGGGGTGCGGTTTTCCTCTTTCTCGCATTCAGCGTGTAATTTGATTACGCAACGGTGCAGGTGAGAGGAGGCCCAAGGAGTTTCCCAGGACATGCAAAAAAAAATTATGCAATTCGGGGCTTAGGGACTAGGAACCGTTTGCAGATTTATTTCTTTCGCACGATCGGCGATCCCTCAAGGATTTTTGCATGCCAAAGGCAAAGGATTTGGATATTGGGTTGCCAGGACGTGATTGATGTGGAAATTGGTTATTGGAAAATAAGAAAATTAAGCCACGAGAGAGATTTTGGCAAAAAGAAATAACTCTATATGGAATAAATGAAAATATATACATATAAACCTTACCGAGGCAAGCTTAAAAGCATCAATTTCGCATGAATCGGTTGTCCCACATTTGGCGCTAAACAAAAATAAAAAGAAAAGAAAACGTTAATTATATTGATTACAATCAATCTGCAAATTGCCAAACGCAATCAACTTAAAGTCAAAAACTCTGCCTGTGCAAAAGGAATCTCGACGACGCCTGTCAAAGGATCTCCACTCAACTGTCGTAATTGAAAACTGTACCTGTGTCTGCACACGGGAAAAGCGAGAAAAATCCAGAGAGAGAGAAGGAGAGAGCTACACACATCACACGTCAACGAAAGGTATTGACTTTTAACTCAAACGCCGAGCCACCACCCACACACAACACACACCCACAAGGAGCCCACATCGAGCCAGGAATCAACCTCCAACCCCACTCCCCAAAAGCTTTTCTTGTTTTTAGAGGTGTGTGTGTGTGTGTGTGCGAGCGATTGTGTGTGTGTTCAGAGTGTATACAATAAGTTGTATGTACATATTTCGTAGAGAAATTGAGACTTAATCGGGAATATATCGGCATTCTTTATGGTTTTCACCCGAATGCGATATATCTTCCTATTTAAAAAACAAAATTTGAATACCAGAAAGAAGGCAAGCAGAGTTTTTTTTTTTTTGTGTATTTTTGTAAGCCAAAAGATTAATAAATAAAGTGCAAACTTAAGCTGGACCCTTGCTTGCCCTAAAAAAGGTCCTTGAAAGTCCCTCGTTCAGTTGTACCAGGAACTCCTCGCCGATGCTTCCACACAATTTTCATTATCGTCTTCCTTTGTAGTTTAGATTTTTCCTTTTTTTTTTTTTTATTATTTTTTTTTATTTTTTATTATTTTTATTTTTTTTATTATTTTTTTTTATTTTTTACTTTTTTATTTTTTTATTTTATTTTTTTTTTCTTTTTCTTCTCTTTATTATTTTTTTTCCTCTTTTTTCCATTTTTTAGTAGTTTATATCCTATTATTAGAGGTTGTTCTTAAAAAGTAGAGAGACTGCCTTGTCTTTGAATTGATTCTTTGTAGTGTCTGAAGAGATTCCTTCATATTGCACAAAATGGATGAATTCTTCGGCCTTGTGTTCTTTGAAAGCTTCATAAATGTCGGTCTTTTAGAGTCTTGATTTCCTGAGTAGATTTATCAGTTTATTTGTATTAGAGCAGGATGCCCCAAGAGTTGCGGCGTCTTGATTCCCTTCTTTAAAATCTTAATTAGAGAAAGGACACACTGACTTAATTAATATTTACCCCTCCAAAATTTGCCACATATTCGTCTTCATTTGAGTTGAAAAGCAGTGTCTTGATTTCCTCCTTTAAAATATTAATTAAAGAAAGGACACACTGAATTTATTAATATTTACCCCTGAAACATTCGCCATATTCGTCTTAGTTTTATCAGTTTCTTTTATCAAAAGAGGATGTCCCAAGAGTTGAAAAGCGGTGTCTTGATTCCCTTCTTTATAATATTAATTGAGAAAGGACACACTGAATTTAGAATATTTACCCCTCCAACTTTCGCCATATTCGTCTTAGTAAGTTGTATTATAAGTTTGAACTTGAAAAGCGGTGTCTTGATTCCCTTTTATATAATATTAATTGGAGAAAGGAAACACTGACTATTAATATTTACCCATGTTCAGTATTCTTTCTTTGTAGAGTCAGCGGACAAAAGAGAGTAATATAATATATTTCTTTAAGTAGATGTATTCTTCGTGCTTGTTTTCATTAATTGATATTTAGTTATGACAAAGTGGTAATCCAGGATCCATATCTCATGCAAGAAGGTTTCGTGTTTTTAAATTCCTTTTTCGAGTAAATAAAGCTTGATTAATATATCTAAAATTCTGTGATTTTCTTATAACTTGTACCAGTTTTAAAAGGTATAACATTCGCACCCATCCGTGAAAAAGCAGTTCCCTAATGTAGTCCCGAGTGCATAGAGTGTTTCTTGAACTGTGATTTCTTCCCCATCATGTCTTAGTATTCCCATCAAATCTGTAGAAACTTGGTGATCACTTCCCCAATTATTGTAGGTGTGTGGAAGGATAATTATTCGTGTATTCATCACTTCAATCCGAGGCAAAGACGTTCCCAAATGTAGTCCCGCGTATCCCATTCTTGTAGTATTTCCCTCTTCTCCACTTTGTTTAAGTGTAAGTTTGGTCATCAGGTCAGTAGTTGTATTATAAGTTTCCTATTTTTAGATCAGGACGTTCCAGGACTTGAAAAGCGGTGTCTTGATTCCCTTTTATATAATATTAATTGGAGAAAGGACACACTGAATTTATTAATATTTACCCATCTTCCATATTCTTCCTTTGTAGAGTCGGCGGACTGAAGCAGAGAGTAACATGTTATATTGTAAATATTGCTTTAAATATTTGTATTCTTCGTGCTTGTTTTCTTTGATTAATATTAGTTGTGACAAAGTGGAAGTCCAGGATCCATATCTCATACAAGAAGGTTCCGTGTTATTGATTTTCTTTTCGAGTAAATATAGATTGATTAACAGATCTAAAATTCTGTGATTTTTTATAATTTACCAGTGTTAAAAGGTATAACATTCGCATCCATCCGTGGAAAATCAGTTCTCTAATGTAGTCCCGAGTGCATCGAGTGTTTCTTGAACTGTGCTTTCGTCCCCATCATGTTTTAGTATTCCCATCAAATCTGTAGAAACCTTGGTGATCACTTCCCAATTATGTAGGTGTGTGGAAGGATAATTATTCGTGTATTCAATCACTTCAATCCGAGGCAAAGACGTTCCCAAATGTAGTCCCGCGTATCCCATTCTTGTAGTACTTCCCTCTTCTCCACTTTGTTTAAGTGTAAGGATGTCATCAGGCTAGTAAAAAATCCTCTTGTTTGTGTCACGTGTAAACTCTGTCCTTAATTAGCATTTAGTATTGTAGGAGGAAGCAACTGTTCTATTATATTTACTTGTGCAAAACAATATAACGATCCTGAGCAATGTTAACTTCGAAATAAATGTGATTCCAAACGACTATAAAAACGAGACCGATTTGTTTCACTTTTACATGGCATCGGCCTTTACTCTGAGATGCAAAATGATTACAAAAAGTCGAAAGAACGGACACAATTTCGATTTACCTTTTCACTTTATGCTTAGATCAAAGCGTGTAAACTAGAGAACTATTCACTTTTCACTTAATTCTAAATAAACGTTTAAAATTGTTGACCGAAAATTTGGAATAAATACTTTTTTTAGTTATTTTTAGATGTTGCCGGTAGGAGGTGTTCGTTGAAACTGAATTCGATGGAGCTTGTCGAGCTTAAGTAGACTGCAAACATGACAGTTCGGAGACATGGCCTACGCGATCGAAACATTTTTTGATCCCAAAATACAAATATTTTCACCAGCCTACTTTGAACTAGCTTCCAGTTAATAATAGGCTCTTTTTGAAATGATTTAATAATGATAATGATAATAATGATAATTTAATTATTAAATAATTAAGATAAGATTAAGGATATAATCGATACTCCCTAATTTCGAAGTGAGCAGAAGAGTGTTAACCCACAAGGAGGACCTTAAAGTCTCTCCTGTTGGAATCTTATTCGTACCAAGAAGGAGAAAGATGGGTCTTAGGATTACATTAAGAATTAACAGAAGATTCGCCAGATATTCAGTTGGACAGAGAAGGACTTATAGAACCTAAAAAATCTTCACATTCCACTTATTTTAATTTACAGAACTAAAAAAGAAACCCCTTTTCCTTAATAAATAACTGGTCCCTATCGCTGACTTCTTCCCAAATAAGCCAAAGTCCCCAAAGTAACCCAGAAACAAGACAGGCAAGTTTTTTTTTTAGGTGTATTTTTGTAAGCCAATAGTTAGGTAAATGGAAAAGCGCCAGCCAGGATCTTGAGCCCTTTGCACATAGATTTCCGGCAGTCCCTCTCCACCCGGGACAGCTCGTAGGGCTTGATATTTGCACCTGTTTGGAGAAGGATTTCAAAATTAGGATTTTCCCCTTTTCTTTCTGGTATTCATGAGAGACAAAATTTCATTTCCTGGCTACATACATTTTCTGACCAATTGCTCCTCATCGATCTTTTCAGGAGTGGCTGGTGCTTTCCCGACTTCGATTGATTCTATAGAATTTTGATACTTTCGTTTATCTATGTGGCCTTATCGTCTGTGTTCTTCTCCAGGCACTACTCATCCGACATGTTGATATACATCTCTGGGACATTGGAAATGCTGTTCTTTAGATGACCGCAGCTTCTTGCTCGTGTGGGGTGCTCATGTTTCTTTTCTTTTTTTTTTAATTTGCCTTGTGTAAGTGTATATCCTTGTTTTGTTTTTTTGTTCTAAGGGGGCTTTTCTTTTTGTTAGAGGAGCAATTACTTTGATTTTCTTGGTTTATTTACCATTTTTTGTGTGTTCTCTTGGTAGCTATCTTGCACATTGCTCTTTTTTTCACTTTATGCTTAAACCTAATCTTAAAACTGCGAAGAATTTAATTAAAGCAAGTATTTGGATTATTTCTTGGATTATTTACCTTATGGTGTGTTATTGCACATTGCTCTTTTTTCCACTTTATGCTTAAACCTAAACTTAAAGCTAACAAAAACTTAACTAAACTTACATCTAAACTTAAACTAACCTTAAACCTAACGCATTACAAAATATAAATAAAAGTTTAGAAACTTTGACTGAAAATTTTGAAAATTTTGTAAATTTTTAGTTTCTCTTTCTTTTTGTTTTTTGAATTTTTTCCTGTAGTTACCGATTTGAGGTGTTCGTTGAGACTGATTTTTGTTGGGGCTTGTCGAGCTAAGGTAAAGTTTGGGTGACAGCCAGCTGAAATTCGAGTCAAGGATGACTTGATCGAGAAAATGTATATTAAAATACATACATAAACAAAGAAATATCTCATAATATAGGCATATTCTTTGTTTCCCTTGTGATTCCTCTCTTTTAAATATTGTAGAGGAAAGCGAAGATTTAGAAGGAACGATATAGAGTTGAACAGAAGCAAGAGTTTCTATTTTTCCGCTCTCAATTCCCTCAGAAACTTTCTTGGACAACTGAGAAAGAAACTCTCTCGTTCGCTATTCCTTGTGATATGCAGGCAAAGCACAAGGGAGGGAAAGGGACAAAGAGAAAACATAAAATATAGCAAAAGAGTTCAACAAAAAGCCTTTCAAGTGAGATATCTAATAGATACTGTTAAAAATCCAATATTATTAATAAAAATGACTAATTTAAAACACCTTTTTGTATGGCAATGCTCACCCAATATCGACGCTCAGAAACTCTCTTGGGCAACTGAGAAAGAAACTCTCTCGTTCGCTATTGCTTGTTCTTTGCAGGCAAAGCACAAGGGAGAGAAAGAGACAAGAAAAACATAAAAATATAGCAAAAGAGTTCAACAAAAGCCTTTCAAGTGAGATATCTAATAGATACTGTTAAAAACAAAACTCAATATTTATAAGATAAATAATGACCAATTTAAACCTCCTTTTTATACAGAAATACTCGCTGAATATCACCCCACCCATACACACAAATGTTATAATTTGCCAATCCAGCAAATTTCACTTAATTTTCTCAAAGTTTGCACCATTAACATATTGAAATCGATTTGCCTGTGGCCAGAGAGAGAGAGAACCTCATCCTTCCCTACAAGGGAGAGGGAGTGGAAGAAGCAGAGAGTGACTGTGGACTTAATTAGGAGCCAACTCTCACATATGTATGTGTATAGGTTCCCCCCCCCCCCCCCGCTATATACATGCAGGACCATTTATGTGTACATATACATACACACATATGGCCCTCTGGTCAGAACGCCCTTTTCTGTATGCTATGAAAACTCGTAGTCGACTGTGTGCATGTACTGCCTGTCAATATATGTACGTGTGTGTGTATTTTCCACTCATGTGTGAGTGTGTATGGGTGTGTGTTCGAGGGTGTGGGTGTGTGGGTGTGTGGGCCGCACACATATGCTCTCATATATTGGCAAGATGGCCGCTCGGCGCTCCCACGAACTGTGAAGCGAAGCGTTCTCTTCATTTGCCAGCTGCCAAAACTAATTTATGCGAATGTCGGGCAGCTTTCAGGGTTTTTCAACAGAGGGATGGTGAGGGGTATGGGGGGTTGGGATGATGGTTAGATCAATTAGGGATGCAGGTCTAATGACTCGAGTTGCTTGGGGATATATTTGTTTTTAAAGATTTAGGGTTATTCGTGGCCTTAGTTTTAGCTTAAAAGTGTGATTATAAATAGATATTACTTAATACTAAAGTCTAAGGTTTTGCATTGGTTTTTCCGAATATATATAGGCCTTAGTTTTAGCTAAAAAGTGAGTTTATAAATATATAATACCTAATACTAAAGTTGTAAGCTTTCGCATGGTTATTTCTGAATATTTATAGGCCTGATTCCTTTTCAAAATATTTATTTTTTTAGATTTAAGTGTAATTTGCTTTGGGATCTTGAAAACCGAAAAGTGCTGGCAGTGAATATAATTATTTAAATCAATTAAAATAAATCAATATGCATTAAACTGATAGGAATAATTAGTTCTGGAATATAATAGTCCTCGAATATATTTATTTAAATCAATTAAATTATATCAATATGCATTAAACTGATTGAAATAATTAGTTCTAAATTAAATTTGAAAGCTTTTCAGACAGTTTTGTGCTCTAAAAGATCTGTAATAATATTATCTTTCACAAGTATCTGTATGTTTTTGGGAACTCTAAATATTATCCTGTAATGCCTTAAAGCATATATGAATATAGATCTATTGGGATACTCTATCTATCACAGATTTCAAATCAATTTCAATTCGTATCAATTTCTTTCTAGTTTCTAATTTATTTGTTTATATTTATTAATTTATTTTAGTACATGTGGAAAAGGGACTAACTTATAGGGGGGGGGGGTTTTTCTTCCTTTTTGGGCTACCAAATGGCCAACATAAAGACGCCAGCAGAGGCAGCGACGTTGGCGCACCCTTTTAACCGAAATACTGAAAAACCTGCGCAACGTTTTTGGGGCTACTTTCGGGGGGGAGGGGGCAGGTCATTGAGTGGTTGTTGTGGACCCTGTGTGTGTGTGTGTGTGTGCTAGTGTGCGTGTGTGGGCAGAGATTCCAGCGACGTCTATCGTTCGTTCCAGAGTGACAGCAATGGCAGGCATCTCTACACGCACACATGCACATATCCTGCTCCTCGCACACACACACACACATATGTGGGAGGAAGCCAGTGAGCGAGCAAGACGGAGCATAATGGAGCGAGACAGCGACACAGAGTGGGAGTGGGAGTGGGAGAGGGAGAGCTAGAGACGAGCAAGCGAGCGAGCAAGTAAGCCAGCTTCGTTTTTAAGGGAAGCAAAATGTATTGCTCATCGAAGGCTATCGAATGTGGTCGTCGTCGTCGTCGTTGTCGGTTTTTCCGCGCTCACTCCACACACACATTCGCGTTACGGTCGACGTCAACGTCAACGTCAACGTTCGTTGTCGCTAACGCAGCCTCTGCCGGCGTCGCTGTTACCGCAGAACAATGGAAGCTGGACGAACATGTTGCGTCCATTTCGTACACACACGCATATGAGTTACCGCGTTTTCAGTACGTATGTGTGCATGTGCATGTGTGTGTGTGTGTTTGGTCTGACTCCCACATGCGCATCTTTGGCAACCCCCTCCCCACCCACCCCACTCCAGCACCCCGCTCACCCCACCCCCCCAAAGACCACCCTTTCTTTAGTTAGTCCGTCGCCGTCCGAGCCGCTTCGTGTTTTATTACTCGCGACCTCCGTTCACGAAGATGGCGGCTGCTCCACACACTAACACACACATGAGCAAAGGATATTGAACACACACACACACAGATACACGCATGCTTCACACATCCTTACATATTTGTGTGTGTGTGTACAGTCCAACTCCATAAACTGAACATTCAAATAAATAGCAACAATTATGAGAAATCTCAAAAAAATATATATATTTTAAAAGATTTAAAAACCAATAGGGAATTCTAAGAAAAAAAATTTTTAAAATCTCTAAATTTTCGAAAAAAAGATTTAAAAATCTCCAGAAAAGAGATTTAAAATCTCCAAAAAATAGAATAGAGAAAATATCCAGAAAATAGATTTAAAAATCTCCAGAAAAGAGATTTAAAAATCTCCAGAAAAGAGATTTAAAAATCTCCAGAAAAGAGATTTAAAAATCTCCAGAAAAGTGATATAAAAATCTCCAGAAAAGAGATTTAAAAATCTCAAAAAAATAGAATAGAGAAAATCTCCAGAAAATAGGTTATAAGATCTTCCAAAGTTTCGAGATAAACATTTCCCCATTGAATTTATTTTGTTTGCCAAGATAATTAAAATACCAGAAAGAAGGCAAGAAGAGTTTTTTTTTTTTTTTGTGTATTTTTGTAAGCCAAAAGATTAATAAATAAAGTGCAAACTTAAGCTGGACCCTTGCTTGCCCTAAAAAAGGTCCTTGAAAGTCCCTCGTTCAGTTGTACCAGGAACTCCTCGCCGATGCTTCCACACAATTTTCATTATCGTCTTCCTTTGTAGTTTAGATTTTTCCTTTTCTTTCTTTTTTTCATTTTTTTTTATTATTTTTTTTTTTTTTTATTATTTTTATTTTTTTTATTATTTTTTTTATTTTTAACTTTTTTATTTTTTTTTCTTTTTTTTTTTTTTTTTCTTCTCTTTTTTTTTATTTTTTTTCCTTTTTTCCATTTTTTAGTAGTTTCATATCCTATTATTAGAGGTTGTTCTTAAAAAGTAGAGAGACTGCCTTGTCTTTGAATTGATTCTTTGTAGTGTCTGAAGAGATTCCTTCATATTGCACAAAATGGGTGAATTCTTCGGCCTTGTGTTCTTTGAAAGCTTTATATATGACAGTCTTTTAGAGTCCTGATTTCCTGAGTAGATTTATCAGTTTATTTGTATTAGAGCAGGATGCCCCAAGAGTTGCGGCGTCTTGATTCCCTTCTTTAAAATCTTAATTAGAGAAAGGACACACTGACTTAATTAATATTTACCCCTTCAAAATTTGCCACATATTCGTTTTCATTTGAGTTGAAAAGCAGTGTCTTGATTTCCTCCTTTAAAATATTAATTAAAGAAAGGACACACTGAATTTATTAATATTTACCCCTGAAACATTCGCCATATTTGTCTTAGTTTTATCAGTTTTCTTTTATCAAAAGAGGATGTCCCAAGAGTTGAAAAGCGGTGTCTTGATTCCCTTCTTTTATAATATTAATTGGAGAAAGGACACACTGAATTTAGAAATATTTACCCCTCCAACTTTCGCCATATTCGTCTTAGTAAGTTGTATTATAAGTTTGAACTTGAAAAGCGGTGTCTTGATTCCCTTTTATATAATATTAATTGGAGAAAGGAAACACTGACTATTAATATTTACCCATGTTCAGTATTCTTTCTTTGTAGAGTCAGCGGACAAAAGAGAGTAATATAATATATTTCTTTAAGTAGATGTATTCTTCGTGCTTGTTTTCATTAATTGATATTTAGTTATGACAAAGTGGTAATCCAGGATCCATATCTCATGCAAGAAGGTTTCGTGTTTTTAAATTCCTTTTTCGAGTAAATAAAGCTTGATTAATATATCTAAAATTCTGTGATTTTCTTATAACTTGTACCAGTTTTAAAAAGGTATAACATTCGCACCCATCCGTGAAAAAGCAGTTCCCTAATGTAGTCCCGAGTGCATAGAGTGTTTCTTGAACTGTGATTTCTTCCCCATCATGTCTTAGTATTCCCATCAAATCTGTAGAAACCTTGGTGATCACTTCCCCAATTATTGTAGGTGTGTGGAAGGATAATTATTCGTGTATTCATTCACTTCAATCCGAGGCAAAGACGTTTCCAAATGTAGTCCCGCGTATCCCTTTTTCTTGTAGTACTTCCCTCTTCTCCACTTTGTTTAAATGTAAGTTTGGTCATCAGGTCAGTAGTTGTATTATTAGTTTCCTATTTTTAGATCAGGACGTTCCAGGACTTGAAAGCGGTGTCTTGATTCCCTTTTATATAATATTAATTGGAGAAATGACACACTGAATTTATTAATATTTACCCATCTTCCATATTCTTTGTAGAGTCGGCGGACAAAAGAGTAATATATTATATATTTCTTTAAGTAGATGTATTCTTGGTGCTTGTTTTCATTAATTGATATTTAGTTGTGACAAAGTGGAAATCCAAGATCCATATCTCATGCAAGGTTCCGTGTTTTTGAATTTCTTTTTTGAGTAAATATAGATTAATTACAGATCTAAAATTCTGTGATTTTTTATAATTTACCAGTGTTAAAAGGTATAACATTCGCATCCATCCGTGGAAAAGCAGTTCCCTAATGTAGTCCCGAGTGCATCGAGTGTTTCTTGAACTGTGTTTTCTTCCCCATCATGTCTTAGTATTCCCATCAAATCTGTAGAAAACTTGGTGATCACTTCCCCAATTATTGTAGGTGTGTGGAAGGATAATTATTCGTGTATTCATTCACTTCAATCCGAGGCAAAGACGTTCCCAAATGTAGTCCCGCGTATCCCATTCTTGTAGTACTTCCCTCTTCTCCACTTTGTTTAAGTGTAAGGATGTCATCAGGCTAGTAAAAAATCCTCTTGTTTGTGTCACGTGTAAACTCTGTCCTTAATTAGCATTTAGTATTTGTAGGAGGAAGCAACTGTTCTATTATATTTACTTGTGTAAAACAATATAACGATCCTGAGCAATGTTAACTTCGAAATAAATGTGATTCCAAACGACTATAAAAACGAGACCGATTTGTTTCACTTTTACATGGCATCGGCCTTTACTCTGAGATGCAAAATGATTACAAAAAGTCGAAAGAACGGACACAATTTCGATTTACCTTTTCACTTTATGCTTAGATCAAAGCGTGTAAACTAGAGAACTATTCACTTTTCACTTAATTCTAAATAAACGTTTAAAATTGTTGACCGAAAATTTGGAATAAATACTTTTTTTTAGTTATTTTTAGATGTTGCCGGTAGGAGATGTTCGTTGAAACTGAATTCTGATGGAGCTTGTCGAGCTTAAGTAGACTGCAAACATGACAGTTCGGAGACATGGCCTACGCGATCGAAACATTTTTCTCTTCCCAAAATACAAATATTTTCACCAGCCTACTTTGAACTAGCTTCCAGTTAATAATAGGCTCTTTTTGAAATGATTTAATAAAGAGTAATATATAATAATTAAATAATTAAGAAAAGATTAAGGATATAATCGATACTTCCTCTAAATTCCCTAATTTCGAAGTGAGCAGAAGAGTGTTAGCCCTGCAAGGAGGACCTTAAAGTCTCTCCTGTTGGAATCTTATTCGTACCAGGCAGAAGGAAGATGGGTCTTGGGATTAGATTTAGAATTTACAGATGATTCGCTAGATATTCAGTTGGACAGAGAAAGACTTATGGAAGATCGACTGTACTTGGATTTTCCTGTATCCTGTATCCTGGCACGCATTTGGGCACACACACGAGTGAGTGTGTGTGTCCTGGGGAGTTGTGCTTTCTGGTTTTTGCACATTTTGAACTTTCGCTCTCCACATCTGCACATCTCTCGCTCCCTCTGACTCTCCCTCTCCCTCTGCATCTCCATCTCCATCTCCATCTCGCTCGCCATCGTATCTTTAATTGAAGGACTTTTGCGCAGCTCACATATATGCGACTCCATCCTTTATCGCCCCATCTCTTTCCATTGGCCGATATGCCGCCTCGCTCTGGCCCACGGCACGGTCCATGTCAGTGGCTATGTGAAGAATGAAGCAAATGAATATCTCATGCTTATAATGGTCGCCCGGGCGACAACGCCAAAGGAAGAGGAGGTCCTGACAGCAGCTAGGGGAGGAGATGGAGGAGGAGGAAGAGCCCAAGGTGGGGAGTCAAGAGATGAGAGCGTGTGTGTGTGTGTGTTTGGAGCTTGAAGCAGTTAGAAACACTGCTAGGGATGACATTTAGTCACCAGAATTGTAATATATATACGAATTTAAAATTTAAATATATTGTTTGGTTACAACATGATAATTGTACCAAAACTTATCGATAAAGTATGCTTTGAATTTCGATTATTCCGATATATTTATATTTTCTTTAATATTTTCATTAGAAATAAATAATATTATTAATTTTTAGTTAAGATTGTATACCTTTAATATATATTTTGATATTGCAAAAGATTTTTATGATATTATAAAGCTAAAATCAATACTTTTAAAAGTCGATATATTGGGATCGATATATCCTATCGGCTGACGCACACATATATACATCCCTAAAGTAGCCCTTTGAGCCACCACCGACCAGGCAGGCGACCAACCACCACCCACTCCTCCTTATTGTCTTGTCCCTCTGTATATATGTATATATGTGCATGTCCTGCGGGTGAGTCCGTGTGAGCTGTAATGTGTGTCTGTGTGTGTGTGCCTGCGCACACATGTGTGTGTGTGTGTGTGTGCGAGAGTTGGAAATGGATGTGGATGTGGAGAGCACTTTGAAGCATATGCACATTTCGTGCTATCGAAAGAGAGACACAAATGAAGGCACTGGGGGTGGCTAAGGGGTGGTGCAAAGGGGTGGACCAAGCTGGGCAGAAGCCGAGGCTTATGTAAGCCAATACATATACACAATGTGTGATATTTATGTGAGCACTTTGGGGTGCCAGTGTATAAGTGTGTACATGTGTGGGCGATTCGTACATACGTCCCTATGTACATACATATATGAAGCCACACATCTGAAATGATTTTCATATTCGATTGCCAAAAGATAGTGCCGAGTGTGCTCCCTCTATGACCTCTTGAGGTAAAATTTTTATGGCAATTAATTCAAAACTTTGAATTTTAAACTCTGTAAAACGATATAACCAAAATAGAGTCCTTTGAAGGCTATTTATGGTTATTAATTACAAGTTTAAAGGGAAGAAAGGAGTTTTCTAGAAGTTTCTAACCATTTAGCAAGCATTTCTAACGATATATTATTTATATTATAATAATAATGATTCTGGAAACTCTTTTCTTAAATTTATTTTAGCAATATTTGCTTAAAATATAAACTCAAGATAGATATATTATATAATTAATTTACTTAAAAATAGAACCTAATAAAATCAATCAACTGATTGAAATGTTACTGCCCAAAGGACCAACCAAAAAAGAGGACATCAGCGATCAACTTCGATGTCCTATCTCTGGTCGCCGATAACTTTTTGGCCCAAGGAGTCCTTGTGCCTTATCAAGGATCGCGACCAACTTCACACCTTGCCATCGGGACTTCACTTCGACCCGAAATAACCTGGGACCAGGGAAATGGAAAATTGGATTTCAGATCGGAAAAGGGGATGCGAAGGGTTAATGCCTATACACATAATGCTTTTTATGCAAAGTAGGTAGCGACAAGGACACCGACCGGATGTGCAATTTGAATGCCAATGCCTGCCGTAATTTGAATATTTAAATTCGATGGAAAATAAAAAACGAAACGAAACGAAACGAGACGAAAGAAAAATGTGTGTCGAACACAAATCAATTATTTGCGAAAATGATGGAAATTAGAATGCAGCAGCGGAAGGGGAGGGCTTTTCCTGGGTCCCGAATTTCCGAAATCCCAAGTCCTGCGCATTGTGCGTATTTTTTTTTTTTTTATATTGTGTGTGCAATGTTGCAAAAGGATAACAGCAAATGGCGAGTGCAAATTTGCATATTTATTGATTTGCAAAAAAAAAAAAAAAAATAATAATAAAGGGAGGAACCTCCCCTCGCCCTGATGTGTGACAACTTCCTGCGGAGAAATGCAAATTATAATGCCCGATCTTCATCCTTGCACCGTCATTATAATCTTTTATTTCCCGGGGTGGGACATGCGAAAGGGGCACAAACACAGGGACCTCTCTCTCTTCGCTCTAATCCCGATAGAAAAGCGAAATGAAAACAAAAACCTAAAAAATGCAAATTTGCATATTCCACATTGATATTGAAAAAAAGAAACGAAATATATATAAAGCGCGAAAACAGATGTCCTGCGTCCTGGCATGTGCGTGCCTAATCGGAGACAGTGCCTCGGAGGGACCTCGAATCGAAATCGGAGCACAAAACAGTTGCCAGACGATCGCTAAGGATAACACATCGCCGGCTGTACAATAATTTGATCAATAAATCAATGAAAAACTATAAAGAAATATAAAAAGGTAAATAAATACACACAAAAATCAATAAATCATCAAGACTATAAATAAACGGATCCACAAAATAATAAATTACTAGCAAATCAATCTACAAATCAGTACATTTGAATTAAAATATATTTACTAGTAAGTATATATAAATATAAGTAAATAAAATATATTAATTAAGGAATAAACCAGGTAAAAAAATCTATACTTTATATTAACGTTTTAAAAAGCTTTTGCAAAAGATATCTCAAAATGTCTTAAGCCTTTAGTTCCTTTGAGATTTAACATATTTTGTCATAAGCTCAGATCTCATTTAATTTAACAAATAATCTCCTAATATCCCAACAATTCTGTAAAATATTTAATTGGAATTTATTTTAAAATTTTCAAAGACTTTTCCCAATTTATAAACTATTTCTTCCAATTTCCTACATTTTTTAAGCAAATCAAATGCTTAAAAAACTTCCATATGCTTAATAATATCAAACCCTTTTTGTGTTAACTAACAACCCAATATAGAAATTCCTATTTACACATTTACTGATTTAAAATATAAAGAAAATATTATAAAATGCGGTTGCGGCAATAATTCCAACGGACTTTTGCCGATCAGGACGCCGCAGGACATGCATTTGCGTTTTTGATTTTAATATTTAAAACAATTCCGCGGCGGGGGGTTTAGATGGCAGGGACGAGGAGCAATCTCGTTGGCAGGATCGCGACGGCGCAACGGGATCCGGATTCGGGACCGGCTGTGCCCTAGTCCTTCGTCCTGCGACTGTCAACGTGTCAATCAAGCGCTGCCTTCACACGAATTTTATGCTTAATTCAGATCGTGTCTCCCTACGCCCTTGATCCTTGAGCTTAACCCCTTTCGTGTCCTGTTGTTTTGGCTTTTGCTTGGAGCCAGTCCTGGCCTGTCTGCCCCCTGAGGTCCTGTCACAGAAATCTAAAACGGGAATTTGCCCAAGAGACCTACTGCCCTGACTTTAATTTACTTTTCATTCAAAGATACATAAAGCTGGCAGATCCCAGAAGCCGATATAGATCGGTTCAAGCTTTAGGGGGACACTGAGGAAGTCTGAGAGCCAGTCGCAGTTCGCAGTTCGCATTCGCTCTTGTCCGTCGTTGTTTTAATAAATTAAATTCCGGAAAATCCACAGGAAGTCTGTCTGTGCATTTTTCTTCCCCCTTTTCCTCCCTTTTGCGGGAAATGGGGGGCCAGCCATTCATTCTATCACTTCCTGGCTGCAGCAGAGGCAGCAGAAAAAAAATATATATAAAGAGCGACAGCAGCGCATGCCGACACGGACTTAATTTCATTTAAGGACTCGCTGCAGCAAGGATTTGCTACACCTCAAAAAAGAAAGCATAAAGTTCAAGTGTTTATAGAAAATATATTCAAAATATTACAAATTATAGGGAAATTGTATTGAAATTCTTTTCTATCTTTGTTTCTTTTGTCAGATCTTTTTAAAAGTACAACATTACAAATTAGATGTTTAAGTTAGTAAACAAGCCATAATATCAGTCCTTTCTCTTTTTTTATACCCTTACAGGGTATCAAAAATTTAGTCAGAAGCCGAAACTTGTGAAGGAATCATTTCCGACCCTATAATCCATATATATTCTTGATCAGCATGACCAGGCGAATCTTTCTAGGCATAAAAAATAGAAACAAATTTTTGAAATTTTTTTTCATAATTTTTTAAGCATTTTTTTCATAATTGACATATTGAAAAATCGACAAAAATTGTAAAAGCCTAAAAGTACAATTGAGGTATGCAGATTTATTAACCTATTAAAAACTAAAACAGAACAGCTTTCCGAATCGAAATTAATGTATTTT